TTCATCCCTGTGCAGTAGGTCTGTCCAGGGATAGATAGCAATAGCTATCTGCCCCTGAAAAAAACACTCGCCTCCTACTATCTCTGTGCCAAGGCGAGTGTTTTTTTTCAGGGGTAGATAGCTATTGCTGCAGTTGCCCTGACGACTAGCGTAGTGAAAGTCTTGGTCAGGCAGGGGATAGAGAGGCTTCCTAAGGAACTTTCACCTGTAAGGATGGGGCAGTCAAATCCCCTCTGTTGAGGGCAATGAATGCTGCACCACCTACACTCAGGCATCTCCTTCTCTTTTTTTTGTACAATGGAATGTTGAACCCAATTTCCACCTATTGGTGTAGCCCCCCACCAATACATTGGACCCATCACAACTGGGGAAGCAACCCCCTCTTGGAGTATATGATACTTGTATCGCCCCCAATAGTCGCTTCTCTCCTCAATGATGTTCAAAGGGCAAAATAAGGTAATAAGTTTTCCCCTTCATCATCATCTTCTTCTTCTTCTTCTTCTTTTCTTTTTTCGATTTTATTTTGTTCTCCCCCCCCCCCCCCCCCCCCCCCCTCTTCTGCGTTGCATATCTCCTCTATCCATGCAATGCAGGAGGGGGGAGAAAACAGAAAGAGAAAGAAAAAAATGTAGAGCGAAAGGGAAAAACTTATCTTTTTTTGCCCTCAAATGATGTTTGAGGGACTTCCTGATTCCATGTAAAGCAGAGCGGAAAAAAAAAGAAACGCAGAGCGGGAAAGAAAAAGAAACGCAGAGCGAAAGCGCAGTGGTTGGTTAGTAAGAACATCGCACAAGAGACAACAGATTCAACGCCGGGCTTCAGAGGCCTACCATCTTCACCTGAATAGAACGCGCGGTCATTATAGCTGTATTTGGCACAACTTTCGGTCCAGATGCAGCGATAATGACCGGGTGTTCTATTCGGGTGAAGACTGTAGATAGACACTTTGAACGCAGGCCCACGTCATGAGTACACAGATATCAGAGAAAAGGGAAAGAAAAAGGACCGATGGACTCAAGGGAAGAGTAGAAGAGATAAAAGAAAGCCATAGCAGAGAGAGAATGAGATAGAAAGAAGGAACATGTCAGAGTCGCCCAAAGGCCGAAGGGGACAGATGAGCATAAAAATGGACGTGCGGTACAAAACCACATGAAGCCAAAACTCGTCAGCAGGTGTCGTGCCCCCATCATCGTCAACTTCAATGTCGGACTCAACGGCATCCGACCCGACACGTTTCATCTGGTCGTCGGAACTGGAATCTTCAGGGGTCTACGTCAAGAGAGAGAGAGAGAGAGAGAGAGAGAGAGAGAGAGAGAGAGAGAGAGAGTCGGTGTTGCGTTTCATCCTTACGTTTTGTTTTATTTATTTATTGTTTCTGCTTGAAGTACGGATGTCATTTCTCATCATAATATGCTGTGGGCGTGGTGGTCCCCACAGTCTTCCCCGTGTGAGCCCAGAAGTGACTACTCAGAGTTGGTACGCCCTTGAACTGTCGAAATACAGACCTGAGTTGGAATCAAGGTTGAGTGAAATCAATCAATTTCCGAATTACCTGGGACCAGTCAGCTGTAAGAGGCATATAAATGCCGGCACCCTTTTCTTCTTCTTTTCTTTTTAACTAAAAGAAGAAAATTAAAAGAAGAAAAAAAGAAGAAATAGTGACTGGACCCAGAATGGAAGGAGCCTCTGTTTAAAAAAAGAAAAAACGAAAAAACGAAAAAAAAGAAATAGTGACTGGATCTGGTGGACCCCAGTTTCAGCAGAGACATACTGAACCCAGCAGGAAAGAATGTGTCTGTGTTTCTGGCTCCAAGGGACGCTTAACCCTTGGAGCCATAAACACGGACGCATTCCTTGTATTTTTTGAAATCTGCTGGAGCACCAAATGTAACATTTTCTTTTGCAGTTCTAGCTCTGCATCTCTCTCTCTCTCTCTCTCTCTCTCTCTCTCTCTCTCTCTCTCTCTCTCTCTCTCTCTCTCTCTCTCTCTCTCTCTCTCTCTCTCT